CTGTAATGACTCAGTCTTACTTGTGAATATCTATTATCATGCTGCACCGTCATTCAGTTTAGGACCTCAGGAAATACTAATCACTCGTAAAGATTCAGTGAACACTAAGATTTTGTTAAACTCTAGGAACCAACTTTAGAATATTTTCACCTCTATTTTACAGCTATCATCTCGCATTCCTTCATTAACATGCAGCTTTTAACCGGCTGTTGTTTCGTAACACTTTTAAGTAAAACAAGAGTTTTAAAAAGCTCTCAGGATGTGCTGGCATCCGTTTTAGCTCCTTAAACACCTTCCTTATCTCCTTGTCACTGGGGGGTTGGGGGGTAAGAGCTGGTTAAACTAGACAAAGGCTCCCCTCTGCGTCTCTGCCCCACAAACTCCAATCCAAGTACCAGATCTTCCATGAAGTCTCCCCACAAGCACAGAATTAGCTGCTCCCCACTCTAGGCAAGCACACCCTACACTTTCGTTTGGCACTTAGTGTAATATATTTTAATTCACTTTTTACCAGCTACTCTCCAGGACCACACTGGACACTTCTTGAGGGAGGTATCTTTTCTCATTCAAACATTTGAGTGGTGTCTAGGAAAACACCAAAGATTTTTTTCTACTAAGTGTGCAGAGCTATTTAAGGAAGCCAAAAGAGCCATAATGATGCCACACCATTGACGCAGTTAAAATAAAAACAAAGTGATCGCTGACTATCAAGATTAGACAGAAAACCCAGATAACATCAATAGGGGTTAAATGTCAATTTTTTCCACTTTTGTTATTAATCATATTATTATCACGCACTGATAACTCAGGAAGCACTCCTATTTTAAAGGTCTTTTAAAGCTAATGGAAGAGTATCAGGAATTCCTATCCAAGGGAAAAAGGGAAGAAGAAAAACATATAAACTAAAAGAGACTTACAAACTTATCACTCAAATGCAATGTGTCTGGGTCCAGATTCAAGCAAATCAACTGTTACTGGAGGGGTGGAGGTGAAGAGGAGACAAAAATGTAAATGAATATCAGAAAAAAAATGAATATGGTCTAATTCTTCGTAAAGAAAGAAGAGTTATCTTTTTGAGCTATACATTAAGGTATTTATGGATAAAATGATATGATACTGGACTTTCTGTCAAAATAACGGGGATGGGGTAGTGACGAGTACCAGAGAAACAAGGCTGGCTGTGTGGGATGGTTACTGAAGCTGAATACAAAGTATGTGTAGTTTAATTATATTTTTCTCTCTACTTTTTGCACATGCCCGAAATTTTCCAAGATAAAAAGTTAAAATAATAATTTAAAAAAGCATTAGGTGTCCTATTAATTCTGCGGTTGGTGGCAGCTGCCCCCCACTGCTTTCCGGCTTTGGATAGTTTCCCTCTATCCAGCAGGAGTTGTCGTTCTCACAAACGGGCTGTAACAGAAGCCATTCCCTTCTGAGGTGCACTGTCTTATACAGACAACATTCTGTCCCCATCCCTGTCTTCCTCGTCCCACCTGAGACAGAGCCCCCGCCAACCCCCATCGCAGCAGAAGATTAAATCAGCAAGTCAGCTAACAAGAGCTCCGAGAACTACGCTTTCTTTAGCAGACAGCCTGGAGCTCAACGTTCCAGTTTTCTGACCTAGCCAATTCATCTCATAAAACAGAAATACAGTCATCCTTCAGTATTTAGTGGGGACAGGTTTCAGGACCCTCGTGGATACCGAAATCCTAGGATACTCAAGTCCTTTGTACCAAACGGCAGTGTTTGCACATAACCTACCCACATCCTCCTCTATACTTCAGATCATCTCTAGATCACTTACAACACAGAATACAGGCATACATCAGAGACAGTGCAGGTTCCATTCCAGACCTCTGCAACAGAGCAAATGTCACAATAAACCAGATCACACGTCTTTTGTGGTTTCCCAGTGCATATGAAAGCTATGTGTACACTATACTGTAGTTCATTAAGTGTGCAACAGCATTATGTCTTTAAAAAACAATGCACCCACCTTATTTTTAAAATACACCTTATTGCTAAAAAAAAATGCCAACCATCATCTGAGCCTTCAGTGAGTCATGATCTCTTTGCAATATGAACATCAAAGATCACTGATCACAGTTCACCATAACAAATATAATCATGAAAAAGTCTGAACTATCACAAGACTTACCAACATGTGACACAGAGACAAAAAGTGAGCAAGTGCTGTTGGAAGAATGGTACCTAAAGATTTGTTTGCCAAAGGTTGCGACAAACCTTCAATATGTAAAATTCACATTATCTACAAAGCACAATAAAGCGAGGTGCAACAGAACCAGGGCATGCCAGTATAATGAAACTACCGTGTGAATAGTTGTAAATGCAATGTAAATGCCACGTAAATCATCGTCTGCATGTGGCAAATTCCAGTTTTGCTTTCTGGAACCTTCTGGAGTTTTTTCCAAATATTTTTAGGCCATGGATACAGAATCCATCCACACATAGGGTCAGCTACAGGATATCAAGACAGAGTATTTCAGTATTTCTGTGGAACTAAAATCTAACATCACTCTGCCTGGAACTCTCTTCCCCCAGATACCACGATGCCTCATAGTTCTCGACTAAAAAGACCTTCCTTCCTGCACCATTCTCCTTGTAACAGCACCACACCTCACGCCCTCACTCCTTGCCTTTCTCAATTTCATTTTGTAGCCCTTATTGCTGCTTGACAATGTATCGTTCATTTGTTAATCACCTTCCTTTTCTAAAATATAACCTCCATGAGAACAGGGACTTTGTTTACCTCTGTGGGCTCAGATTCTAAACAGTAACTGAAACATAAAAGGAGACCCAATACATATTTGCTAAATGCTCAGGATCCCAGGAAAATACAACTAAATAGCAAAGAGGGTTGAGAACAAGGTTGACACTATTGACATAAACTAACAACATGCACTTTCATCACCACCAACACACCCATCCATACCCACTTCATGCCATAGAGGGGTGACTTCACGGCACTATTTTTATCACTATCACATTTAGACTTTGCTAAACAGCTGAGAAATCAGTGACTTCAAGAGCACAGGAATAGTGGTTGAATACATCAGTTTGTGTCCAAAGAACCTCACGGGAGCACAGGACCTTCACATACCCTCTATATTACTGACAAGATATACAAATTGTCTCAGAATTTAGGGTACAGTGTGAATCACATCAGAGCTTTCAAAGGCTATAGGTCTCCGTCTTTGTAAATCAAAACCAGTGCTTTACTCCTGCTTTTCCTACTCCAGTTCTACCAACTAGAAATCCCCACCAGCCACCACCCCGGTGACAGTGACATCTAGGAAGCAGGCCACAGTGGCGGGTGGTTCAGAGTGTCTGACTCTGGCACGTCCCAGCACCATCTCTCAGCCACCATGTGATCGTAGGCAAGGTGCTGCGTCTCAGTTTCCTCATTTGTAAATTGCAGGGCAGTAACGCAGTCTATTTCATAGGGCTGATGTGAGAATTAAATGGCAATGTGAGGTAAACAGCTTAGCACTAGGCACAGAGTAAGTTAAACTATCTTAGCTGTCACATTCAATATTATTACCACCACATCTGAATCCCTCAGACACTTACCCTTTTACATAACTGTAGTTAGTACTCATTCTCAGGAACATCAAAAAAAATAGTTGGATCATTTTTTTAAAGCCTGAAAAAACTGGTGAGAATAGGTAGTGTATCATAATCCAGTGGCAATTCTGCTGTAAATCTTTGTTGAATGAATGAATATGTCATTAGGAGGGAAACACAAGCTTTTAAGAAAGGTGGGTAATTCCTGGGCATATATCCAGAGGGAACTCTAATTTGAAAAGACACATGCGCCTCAGAGTTCACAGCAGCACTATTTACAATAGCCAAGACATGGAAGCTACCTAAACCCTTACTGACAGATGAATAGATAAAGTTATGGTATATTTATACAATGGAATACTACTCAGCTATAAAAAAGATTAAATAATGCCATTTGCAGCAACATGGACAGACCTGGAGATCATCATTCTAAGTGAAGTAAGCCAGAAAGAGAAAGAAAAATACCACATGATATCACTCATATGTGGAATCTTGAAAAAAAAAAAAGACACAAATAAACTTATTTCCAAAACAGAAACAGACTCACATAGAAAACAAACTTAATAGCAGATACTAATTACTATATACAAAATAGATAGTTTCTACTGTATGGCACAAGGAACTATGTTCAATATCTTGTAATAATGAAAAAGAAGATGAAAAGGAATATATGCATGTCCATGTATGACAGACATTATGCTGTACACCAGAATCTGACGAAAGAAAAGACAAGACAGAAAAAGAAAGGAAAAGAAAAAAGGAGAGAAAAGAAAGAGAAAAGGAAAGAGAAAGTAAATCTTCTTCAAAACCCTTCGGAATTCATTGCTGGACGTATGTTACGTAAGATAATGCACCCAGCATAGCATCGGGCATGAGGGGGGCACCCCGTGCAGGGCTGCTATGATTATTACTGCTGTGATCACGAATCTCAAGGCAAAGTAGGATCTGAAAGACATCCAGGTTCAAGTTCTCTCCCTCTCCACACAGCCTAGAAATCCCCAAAAGTATGACGTGGAGCTCCAACACCGCCTTGCCGTCCTCCGTCTCTACATATGCTTTTCTCCTTTGGTCCTCCTGACCCATTAAGATTATGCATGAGACTCTATTTCAATACAAGTGCTCCAGGGCTAACAAAAACCTAAAAAGCACTGACACAGTTCAACACACTGTTTTACAGATGAACACACAGTGCCTTGGTCTAGAGGTCCAACAACTTGTCCAAGATCTCACCCTGGGTGGCACCACAGTGGAACTAGAAATCCGGGCTCCCAGAACCTCATCCAGGGCTCCTTCCATGACCAGGCACTGCCTCATCCATGGGTAAATGCACCAAAACTTCCACCAGAACCAGTTTCTAAAGACAGACGTTCCCCCACTTAAAGGACGGATTTGTTCATTTACATCCCACAACTCACCATAATTTCTCTCTGCTCTTCCAGATTCTTCAAAAAATTAGAAAATTCGCGTAAGGAAGCATCTGTGAGGAGAAAGGAGTGATTATTTCATGGCCAGAGCAAAGGACAGAGCAAACCAAAACCTCGTCTTCACCCACCTATGCAGCGTTCATCGTCAGTCTCCGCGTCACCGATAAATTCAAATTTAAAGTCTCGGAGTGAATGAGCAAACTTCCGCTGGGCTGCCGAAAGACCTAGAAAGAAAGATGGGGGGATTACTTGAGTCCTTGTTTCAAAGTCAAGGATTAGAAGGAATTTCTTCCTCTGAAGGTGGCGGACCTCTCCTAAACGCAATCTGGAAGGAGAAACGACCCAACTCCTTGGCCAAGGGGCCCATCGACTGGCCCACCCAGTCTCTGGAGGCCTGTCTTCTACTCTACGCTCTGGGATGAAGCAGGTGCTGGAGAAATAATTCTTCCCCCCACCGCTCTCCTCTTCTTCAGGGATCTGACTGCTGTGCCTTATTCCCTGAGGCACTCTCCTGTCTCTCCCCACTCAGGTCAGAAGCTGACCGATTCAGAAGTTCAGGCTATGATTAGGAACACACCCACTGACAGTACCTCCCAGGGCTTGATGAGATCTAGTCGGCTGCCAACTCAGCCACCCAAATGCCCTTAACTGATGGTCCGACTCCAGCCAGAGAAACCTAGAAGCTTCAAAGAGTTTTCATAGCAGCAGGGAGGTAAACCAAAGGTGCAGGTTAAATGCTAGAAAGAATTCATTCTGCAAAAGACCTATAGGTCTTCAATTTTTTTTTTTTAACTAGAAAACAATGGAAAATCCTCCTTCTAAAACATGCTAACAGTTATTTCATGGGCCATGCGCTATGCTAGATGACACGTAGCCCCACTCAACACTCTTGAGAGAGATAAATAAAACAGAAATTATCTCCCTTTGATCAGGGAGTGCCAAAGCTCTGAGATGTTAAATAATCTGCATCAAGTTGCACAGCTACTTAAACAACACAGGCCTGCTCTATTCCAGACCCATTTGTCCAAAGCCCAAGCCGTGACCAGGGCACAATCCTGCCTCTGGTCTAAAGCACTTTCTGAGAAGCTGCTCACTGATCCCCTGCAGCCTTGACGGCCCCTGTCCCAGTACAGAGAACACTGACCGACTATGTTAAAACAAAATTTCATGTCAAGCAAATTGGAAAGTTGGAGGAAGAAAAATACACAATCCCTAACTGCTGATGAGTACTCATGCAAAAAAGTAAATATGGACAAGAAAGTGAAGCCCGCGATGTACAAACTGACAGCTGCTTTTAATAAGATGATGAAATAGTCGGATCAGCAATCTTCTCCTTTTTTTAGTCATCGTGATATAGCTAACAAGGAATGAAAGCCAAAAATCCTTATTTTTACATTGGAAAATGCTGCTACTTTTTTTTTTTTAACCAATTCGTTACCTCCAATCATTAAGTACAATGGTTCCCTGACGCCCTCCTGGACAAAATGCCTTCTTTCTCTCACTTCCTAAACTTCTAATAATGCTCACCAGCTCTGTTGTCATGGTCTGGTTTTGTTCTTTAATTTTGTCCTAACAACAAAAAAAAAAATTTTTGTCCTAACAGACTATACTTTGGAGTAGCTTTAGGCTCAAGGCCAAAGTGGGCAGGAGGTCAGAGAGTTCCCCTAGAGCCCTGCCGCAGCGCCTGCCACGCCTCCCCCATCATCGACGTCCTCCCGTCCTGGTTGCTGAGACTTCACTCTTACAGAGCTGAACCAAAAAACCTCTTAGAGGAGGAAACAGGACTGTGATTTCTTACCCCCGAAGGATGGAAGAAAAGCAAAGCCCTAATGTCAAATGTGATGGACCATAAGCACGGACCCCAAGCTCCACCCCTCCTCGGAGGAACGTCTGTCTTCAGTGTGACTCTGCAGCTCCTCAGACACCAGGCGGAGTCTACTTTCCCGCCCCGTGAATCCCTTGGACCCAGGCTGCTCTTGTGGGCAAAAGAATGCAGTCAAAGTGACACTGTGCTGATTCAGAGCCTCCAGCTCACGAACCTTGAACTTTCGCACACCCCTGCTCCACTCTCTTGGAACCCTTGGCCTCCGTGTGACCAAGTCCAGACTAGCCTGCTGGCTGACAAAAGACTTGTGGCCCAGGCCCCCCACTCCCTGCCCCATCCGTCAGACAGCCCACCCGCAGAGGCATCCAGAGGGGCCCAGTGAGCCGAGTCCACACGGAAGTAAAGGGCTGCAGTTTAGGTCACTAGGTTTGGGGGTCGTTTGCTCAAAGTAACAAGTAAACTAATATAGAAAGATGAATAAAATTTGACTGTATTAAAATTTTAAAGACATAAAAATTGGACATAAGCACACAACCTAAAGATATAACTAATGGCTATAAGCCAGAAAGAGAAAGAAAGACACCATATAGCATTACTCATATGTGGGACCTAAAAAGAAAAATAAAGGACACTATGAAGTCACCTACAAAACAGAAAGACCCACAGACATAGTAAACAACCTTATGGCTACCCAGGAAAGGGCGTGGAAAGGGATAAATTTGGGAGTTTGAGATTTACAATGTTAGCCACTATATTAAAATAGATTTTAAAAGAAAGTTTCTTCTGTATACTACAGGTTAACTATGTTCAATATCTCATAAAACCTTTAATGAAAAACAATATAAAAACGAATATATGTATGTATATGTATGACTGGGACATTGTGCTGTACACCAGAAACTGGTACATTCAATTTAAAAAAATAAAAGAAAGAAAAGAAATAAATAAGGGGTATAAGTCAACGAGGTGAGGCAGAAACTCCAATAAGAAATTGGGCAAAACCCTTGAATAAGCCCTTCACCAAAGGAAGTGAAGGCAGTCCACATGGCCTAAAACCACATGAAACGGTGCTCAAACTCATTAGTGATGATAAAAGGGAAAATTAAAACCTCAACATACCTCAATACACTTGTCAGATTGGCAAACCTTAGAAAGTCTAGCAACTCCAGGAGTTGGTGTACGTGGAGTGACAGAAACCCCCACAGACTGCCTGTGAAAGGAAAACTTGGTCTAACTGCTTTTTAAGTACGTTGGCATTCTCCAGGAAGTTTGACGATGATATCCTCCACTCGGAGACTGCCTTTCTAGGTAAATTCCCAAGATAAACTCTGGCACACGCGCACTTACAGACACGTACTTTCTATAGCGGAAGGGACCACAGCAATAGCCAAACACTGGGAGAAGCAAATACCAATCAACAGCCAAGCAAATGACTAAATTATAGGATATTCATACATGATAGAGTAAAAGTAACCATAAATGCACATATCAACAACAGACTAATCTCACGATTTGGACAGAAAGAAGAAAGTCACAAAAGAATACACAGTGAAGAAAAAAAATACACAGTGTGGTTCTTTCATACAAAGTTCAAAACAAGCTACACTAAACCGTATGTTTGGGTTGCATACATAGGTCACAAAATTACAGAACAGCCAGTGAATGATTATCTCAAAAGGCAGATGATGTTTACCACTAGCGGCCAGAAAGGGCGATGCAGTCAGGAAGTCATACGGGAATCAAAGGTATTTCAATTCCTAACCTAGCGGTGAGTCTGTGATATTTGCATTCTTCTTGTTCTTTTTTTTTTAAGATCCCAAGGGGATTGTTTTCTTTTGTTCATTTTTGGTGGGGAGGTAATAAGGTTTACTTACTTGTTTTAGAGGAGGTACTGGGAATTGAACCCAGGACCTTGTGTATGCTAAGCATGCACTCTACCACTGAGCTATACCCTCCCCCTCTCATTCTTCTTTAAAATATATGTTTGTTTCACATACTTCTGTATTTTTTGCCATCATTTCACAACTAAAACATACATTTTTTAAAGCCTGGCTATTCGGGCAACTGCAAAGTAACTATTCTATTGTAATCCAGGCAAACATACAATTATACAATTATTCCCGAAGATCTAAGCTGGAGGTTCACACCAAACCCATCCAGTCCGACAAGCTTCAAAGTGCTGCTCCCTCCACCGGAAACGCTCCTTCCCCACCCCTACTTTCACTTGGCTGGCTTCTCCACACTGATGGCCCTGCTCACAGAATCCTCCTCCTCCTCCTCCTCTCACTGTCCTCCCGAAAACAGCGTCACCCCTCTGCCCTAAATCCCTCTCTAGTCCATCGCCGCTGCATCTTCTTCAAGCACTGCTCACCTGCAACTGCCTTATTTAGCGAACATTTTCTCAGGGTTATCTCTTCTCCCGTTCCGGAACAGCCTGTCCCCAAGGCAGCGGCCAACAGCCTTGTGCCTCCCTGTATCTCTGAAACAGGGACCACACAGGGCTTTTCTTTTTTATTTAATGCAGCTATTTCCAAATATTAATAGCATGTGAGTGTATTATCATTTTTACTAACTTTATCTTATTTTATTTGGCTAATATTTGCTTTGCCAGATCTCAACAGGGGCATGTAATTGGTTCCGTTTGTGTATGTGTATGTGTGTGTGGGTGTTTATATGTGTATGTTTATAGCTACTTATTTATATATGTTATATACAAATAATATATAAATGCTTTTATTATATACATATAACTATAAATTCTGTTTTTCCCCTCTGGAGCTATTTCCTTTGAGTAGGTCAAAGAATACTTCAAAGATTACGTTTTCATACGGTCAAGGCAGGATGCACTCCAGAAGCTAAAACTTAAATGCATCTGTTTTTCAACATTTATTTTATGATTCTCAGTTTCATTAGTTGAAAATGTTTATAACAGCAGATTAAGTTTGGGTTCATTTGCACAGAAATCTCTCTCTCCCTATGGAAATAGCATGCTTTCCTCTCTTAAGTACTGTGGTTACATCAGTTCTTTATTTTAGAATATACTGATTTTTCCTGTCTTCTTTCTGGTGTTATTAGAGTTCATTATGCAAAAATTTTGGTGTTTGAAATTGGACCACACCAAACTCCATTCCACCTAATAATCACAAACTTATCACCGTTTCGTTACGTAGTACATTCTAAATGCATTTATTCTCTCACGAAGTTTATACTTTTATAGTTATCTTCTGCCTTTCCAAACATAATTTAAAATTACAAGACCACTCACTACACTTAGTACAATCCATTATTTAACGGAACACAAAGATGTTCTGTGCAAAAGATAACGGTTTTTCTTTCCAATATCATTCCACATGAAATGCAACCAATCTTGAAGTTACAAGTTACAAAGTCTGGCAACAT